TGATATTGGTTACACAAAGTTGATCTACAATCTATTTTATATGAATTTGGAAATAGTTACACCCTACCCTTAAAATACTTTAGCTAATCGAATTTATTTCCCCGACAATTAAGGTTATCTGATTTAAGACTAGGATTAGCCAGATTTAGAGTTAGTGTTGGTTAAAATTAAATGATTATCGGTGAATCCGAGTATAACGGCCAAAGAACAGAAACCCTGCTTTACGGAATTTTAAATGAATTATACGGATATATAATTCCGTGTTTCATACGGCAAACTCCGTAGTTTATATGCGGAATATGCATAAGGAATTAATCCGGTTCTTTATCATTACCAGGGCATATTCTGTATATAAAATACGGAGTTTGCGGCGAACTCCGTATATGATATTAAAGGAATCTCAAACACTAAAAGCATGGTTGCTCGTAAAACATCGGGCGTGTAAAGTTGTCACAGACGTGGCGGATATATTTATACTAAAGTTAAATTTCGGATTTTTCTAAAATAAAAAGATTTGTTTTTGGATGTCCTAAAATTCCTAAATTGACCCAAATTATCTTAAATTGTTCTACGAAAGCACTAACGATTGACGTACGTAAATACACTTTGAAACATACTTTGCTTCAAGTTGCAGTTGCAGATCTACGACAAAATTTATTATACGTATTCGTGATTAAATTGGTAGGTAATGGGTGATGATGGAATTTCTCAAAGACAAAAATCAAAAATCAAAGATTAAAAATTAAATATTACAATTTAAAAAAATTATCTGATGTTTAGATATAGATGTGAAGACTAGCAAAAAGGTCGGCCTAGTGGCTTTTTTAGAATCGACCTCAGCTCAAGATTTTTCCAAGGATAGATCTTAAGTAAAATATATCGATACGCATTACTGTTAAAAAAATAATAATCAACATGTATGTACGTACGTACAAGATAAATTATTTATTTATTATCTATTATCGTTAGTCAAAAATTTAACATTGACATAAAATTGTTTTTGTATCTTGCATGCTACGCATTACCATAAGCACATCATATTAAATAGAATAAATACTTCTACACTTTGAAAAAACGTGATAATAAATTTACAAGTTAATCAATAGGCGTTTTCTTGTGACATACAAATAGGTATGCAAAAACTCAAGCAGATAGCTTTATAGATTCTAGAATTTGCATTCACCTACAGAAGGGGTGAGTAAAAAATTGGGAAAAATGATATAGAAAACAGTTTTGGCTTTGTAGAACTTGACAAGTATTACAAAAGTCAAGTTTGAATAGTTCATCTCCAAATGTAAGAAAAGAAAGGGTTAAAGGGCTTGATTAAGCAAGTCTCTCGGACGTGAAATGCGACAAACACTAAATATCTTCAGGGATGAAATTTTTCACATGGATTTGATTACTTCGTTTTAAATAATAATGCAAGAAAGGTCGATCATAACAAATGTAAAGAAAGTTTGCAATCATATTATAATTATTTAAAATGAAGCGCATATTTCAACGTGCATATGTTGTTAACAGTGGTTTAAGGCGTACAACTGCTATAATTGATAAAGATAAGATTGGAGCTTGGGAAAGCTGCTGCGATTTACTTATCTATTTCGGTAATACAAGACTAGAAAGGAAAAACTATATACATAAAATTAGAAATATTGAAGGGCTATAATTAAAGCTACCTTCTCGGAACTTTTTAATTAATGTTCCATAATCGGTTTATGCATACATTTTTTTTTCCATATTTTCGTTTTTTGTTCATCGGAATTTATGTCTGGCTTATCGGATGGACAAATTACACACGATGTCAATGGATGTCAATGGACGTCAATGGATGTCAATGGATGTCAATGGTCTTGTATAGGAACAAATAAATCACGCGCTTTTGATAGAGCCTTTATTTTTTCCGAGGATCATTTTGAATCAAATCCATCACCTATACACTATCAATAGTGGTATTTTAAACTCACTTCGTGATCGATCAATGCTGCAGTAGCTTATATAATGCAGTAATGTATTTAGTGTAATCTAAACAAATACTTAGCCTTTTACATAATGATCGTCCATCTTTAACTTTTGTGATACAATATCAATTATGAAACAAAGGATATACGGGTGGCGCCGCATTATTTAATTCGCCACAAAGTATAACGATACGTATAATATAAAATTTGTCCGTTAAACACAATTTGCATTAATGAAATTCTAAATTGAACTAAATTATTTGCTTTTCATAAGTTAATACTTTACTAAAAGACAATCAATTTTAATCCTACCCCAATAGATTTTCCCCCCAAAAAACGTTTTCGATGATTTTAGATAAAATTATTTGGTTTTAATAGTACAAGAGTGTTATACATTGTCGATACTGTTTTAGTATATAGATAGAAAAAAGAGCCAAAAAGAATCATCGTATTGTAGTGACGCAAGTTTTGTACGTATACGTGTTAAAATCATTTAAATTATTGGTTCTTACTAAATAAGAGTAGGTTGTAAGTTAATAGTTACTTTTTTCCTGATTTACGTAAAATAAATAAGATGAATGCGATACGTACGTACTAAGATTGATAAATATGTACAGTATATTGATTATGTATACAGTATACTGTATTGATTATTGATTAGAACTATCCCGGCATAAACCGTATTTTGTAACAGATTAACGGGTGTTAATTTATTTTATAATCATCACATATAACTTACATATAACTGTATAATCGTTGACAATGATGCACTGAAGGTCGGTCAGTTAATTATAGTTAAAATTTAGTAATATTTGTTCTTATTACTACCAGATAACGCAAAAGTGATAAACTGATAATCTTTGAGAAACGGTGTGCAACAACTTAATAAAAAAAGTTTGTGGCTAAGCTAAACTTTTTTTTTCTGACAATTTGAGTCATCTAATATCTATTACATCCTAAAAAGGTTTGTCATTACGCCATCCTGTTTATTCAATGTCCTTACAAGTTTTTTAATGCCTCGTGAACTTGTTCTTTGATTCTTTCAATTTTCATCATCTCATCTTTTTCCCTACTCTTCGGTACCTACCACAATTGTACTAAACATTCTCTTTCTTCTCCATCTAAAAATATTCCCTTTCTAAATTTTTGGTGGTGATAAGAATGTACAATAATAAAGATAATAATACAAATGTTGCGTCGGTTAAACCGGTTATTTATTATAACAAAAGATTTCATTATGTAGAAGAAGATACTGCTGTGAATTTTCATTTCGATACTGATTATGCATTATTTCAAATTTATAATTTAAAGGTATATATATATATATATAAATAAATATATCTATTTTTTTTCTTCATTAATTTTCTTTTGTAATACTAAAAACCTTTAACCGCTATTTTACTTTTATTAAATTAATAGGGCAACAAAAATGATTTTGTCGAAGCTATTACTAATTTAGCAGGACCAGCTAGTGCTGTAGCATTCCTTAATGATTTTGAAAGAACCTATCCAAGGCACTCCGACCATAGAATAGAACTTAGAGTTAACTCACCTATTGAACAATCAAATTCTGATAGATTAAAAGTAATATTTTAAAAATAATTTTCGCTTCTACACTTTTTTTTTTCTTTGAAAATTTATTAATATATATATTTTTTAATATTATTTTTAGATAAAAATAAAATTCAGTAACATATCTCATATGAATTTAATGGAAGCATTTCGAACCTCACCAATCATTGAAAAACTTACTGAAAATGGATTCGCTGATTGGGTTCCATTAGATAGCTCAAGTTACGAATGTATCATGCAAATGCAAAAAGCACCAACTTATGATAATAAAATGGCAAAAACTGAAGATTGGAATTATTCTATTTTACGTACTCTAAGTGATCCTATTGATTCAGTATTGTTGGATGTAGCATTAGATAATTTAATGGGAGATTTAGAAATTGGTTCATTTGAAAAATTGATCCCTGGGCCAGTCATGGATGTTGAACGGGGTGTAAATGGTGTTGTTATGACTGTATTGCAAACTAAAGAAAAATACTCTTTTGATGAAGATGTGGGCAAGATATTTATTGAAGTATTGAACTCTTTGATTCATGATAGAAGTGTTGAAAAAAATTTTGATAAGGTTTGACCTCATTACTTTTAATAATTTAAACAAATTAATTTATTTTCTTCATAATATTTTATAATCTATTGACATCTATTATTATATTATATTATATATTATATTATATTAGAGAATATACGATTCGTATTTCACATTGGTCGTTCGCATATTTAATTTAATACGTAATTTAATTCATTTGAATGAAATTTATGAAGACTTTCATTCGCCTAGTGTATGTCCTCTACTTTCAGGTTCAATTAAATATATGAAAATCAAATACATTGAGACTCTAACAGATCTCGAAAAAGCCCTTATTGATATAGGGTTTGATAAATTTGAAGGTATGTAATGTTATATTATCTTTTTTTTATTTCATTAAATTTCGAAATTTTTACTAAATATCTCGTATTTTCTTTATAGATCGACTTCAAGAACTTACCATGATGGTACGCGAGATAGATCGTAATTTAGAATGTGCATGTAAAAATTTACAAAATGATATAGAAAAATGGAAGAAACGTAAAAACATGGCAAATTTCTCTTATATTTTATCAATGTACATATTGATTTTTTTTCTGTATTATTATCATCGTTATTTAGCAGTTATTTGAAAATTTATATGAGCATAATTTTTAACTAAACTTTATTTTACCATATAGCCTTATAGCTATAGCATTTCCTTCAATATATCATTATTACCGACAAACTGATAATGTTCCTTTTGGATTTGTAACGGTAACTATCTATAACACCTTTTATCTGAAAATGATTTTTTTTTTAAAACCAAAAAAATTAATCTGCTCTTTTTTTTTTCCGTAAACAGACAGTAGTTGGTTGTGTTATAAGTCTATTATTTGCACTTTGGCATGGCTGGTCACGTAACAGTTATAGCCGAGCAATACATTCCCATCGAAAAGCAATACCAGTTCACGCAGCAGTGGGAGAAAGCATAGAATCATTACAAAGATGGTTGAATAGAATTTCTGTTGTGAAAAAATGCAAAGTACCAATGAATAATAATGAATTGGCAAGTAGAAAAGCTACTTTGGCTTATTTGTTTGATGAACTAGTATCTGCTGCTGCAGATATGAGATTGAGTATTGGATTAGAAGATGAGTTCAAAAGGCATAGATAGAAGAATGAGATCATTTTTTGAAAAAAAAAAATGTAAAATGATAAATTGACTTGGAATAGAAATAGTAGATGACAAATATGTATTATGCATAAAGAACTTTGTATATTGAGTTGTAAATTTACATATTATCAACATATAGATATTATCATTGAATTCAATCTGGATGCATTAATGAATTAAAACGAACAAACAATTACTGTACTGTATTTATTTATTTATTTAAATTTATTTGCATAATCGATATTAGCACCGTTTAGGTTTATTAGATATTTTTACAGATTATAATTATTATATATAAGTTTTATGTAATTTTTATTAAGTTTCTAGTATTTATATTGAGAATTGACGGTGCCATAAAGCACCATTTAAAGTACTCTTACTTTGCATGTGATTTTGTATCATGCTTTTAAAATGATGCCTCTTTTTTTTTTTTTTTTATAAATGATTATGTAAAATATGTAAAAGGCTTTTTCATTATGGTTGCTAATGGAGCAGTGTACTCCGGAGCCAACTGGCTTTAATACCAGTTTCAAAAAGTTTGGATTAACGATCAAGCAAATTTTATGCGATTAAATCCTTAACGTTAATTATAATTTGCTTAGCGTTAGACGTTATTTCTAAAATTGCGCCCTAAAAATAGCACAGTTAATTTCGAAATAACGCGCACCTCATGTAATATCGCACATGGGAGTATTCGAAATAACGCGCAATTATTGAAATAAGGCGAGACCAATTTAATTCGGTAGTTTACATTACATTCCTTTCTCAAAAGAGGAGGGGAGGGGTGAAAAATGGAACGACAGGAAATTTTAATATAATATTTTTAAATCGGAAATTATTGACCTCGTCTCGTCTTTTATGTTCGTTCATTTTCTTTTCGGAATTTTTCGGATCCTTACAATTTCTAATCTTAATTCCGCCCAGCATTATGCTCTTCAGTATATATATCTCGAAATTTTTTTTACTAAGAGAGAGGGGGAGGGTAATGTAAACCACTGAATCAAATTGGTCCGGCCTAACATGCGGAAATTCGTTGAGAATCTACGATAGTTAAATTTTTAGCATGTCCATCCTTCGGAATTATAATTATTCCATCTTTCGGAATTATGATGATAGTGAAAGTAGTGATTAGACTCGTCAACTCGTGACTCGAATATCACTCATGAGATTCGCGAATACCTCCGCAATAAAATTCCCATTTTGGTCATTTTTCGTCCAATCAAAATTCAATATTTGGAATAATTTCAGATTATCGATATAATAATAAACTTTCATTTTATTCCATTTTATTATTAATGGAAATATTCACCGTCCCCGATTCGCGAATCAAAATAATTCACGCAATTGTTATCGTTAAGTATATTAAATATGTGTGCTCTTTTAAATATTAAATATATGAGTGTATAACGAAAACCGGATTTCAGAATATCAAAGTTTATTATTTATCAGACTTAGCCTTTGAAAATCTAAACATGACTCAAGTAACGAGTTGAGTTGAGATTATAATCGCATGATGATCATACTTATTGGAATTGTTGCCAACCGGGACTATGATTTATATAGTTATGTATATGGTTCGCAAATGAAGAATAATTAACGACAACAGGTATTGATAATTAAAATGATGAATGACGATTTATATGTATTGTGTAGTATGAGATACTATAGGATATTTAATTGAAAATCAAATGAAAAAGTTAGCTAGCACGTTTATAGAGATAAAAAAAGATTGAAATAATAAATGTTAAACACGTATTGTATGAATCCAGAATGACTCGAAACGTATAGAAGCCTCATTTTCTCTTGGCAGTACTTGTTTATGGTAGTTTATCAATCCAAAATAACAAAGGTATATATATAAGATACTTTAAATTTATATAGGTGGTGCTATATGTCTATATACTGTATATTAACATATCATCATAAATTATAAATTTAAAATTTCCTACGTATACGTATAAGACTAATTTAGAAAATGTAAATTGTGATGTAAATTGTGCTGTCTTAAGTACATGCAAAATTTTGTATCTAAAAACAAGCTTTTGCAAAAGGTTTGTTATCACCGTTTAAATCAACAGATAAATAGATCGAGTAATGTCTTTAGACTAAAATATTGCATGAACTTTTTTGTTAAGATCTCTAAAGATCAGGGTAAATTCATCAAAGTTCGAATACTGTATCATATGATTGTAAAATATTAAATTACGTAACTTAATTAAATAATTGTGTATGTAATATAAGCTCACGGACGCACAGAAGATCCGAAAAACCTATCACTGCAGCGGATACAGTCAAACCTCCATACATGCACCCCCCTTTGGACTAGTGCTCGGCAAAAATTTGATAGTCAAATACTTGTGATTTAGATGATTAAAGATTAACCAATACTATATATCCAGCTTTGGTTAACCTGCAATCGCTTGATGTCCGATTTAGTCATAAGTATTGATTGTTAAATTTTTGTTTGATTGTGCCGAGCACTACTTGGGACCGACCATAAGTGTGTGTTCGTAGAGGGTGTGCATTTATAATGTAGTTTTATTAGTGTCATTATTAGTTGGGACTGAGGCATAGGGTGCAATTATAGAGGGTGTGCATTTATAGAGCATGCATATATAAAGGTTTGACTGCATTTATAGAGTATAGTTTTATATATAAGTGTCATTATTGTCATTATTGGTTGGAACTGAGGGTGCAATTATAGAGGGTGCGCAATAGGCGTGCATATATAGAGGTTTGACTTTACAGTATATACTTGACCTCTATAAGTGCAGCTTTTCTTATTATTCTCTATATGCACGTTATCATTTAAAATAATGTAATATAATCTGCGCAATGACAGTTTTTTTTCGACATATCGATTTTTGTTGTAACGATAAGTTAAAATTCTTAGTTTTTAAGTTCTTACAGAATTATGCCCTAGTTAAGATCTTGCACTTTTATGAAAATTTGAACGTGATCTTTAACTTCATATAATATTCCTTGCTTATTGGTGATAATATCTATAAACCATCATATATACTGTATATATGTGATACTCGAAATTTTTTTATTGGGTGGCAATTAAATGAATCTATTATATGTATCAATTCAGTTCGACATATTAAATATTTGTTCTATTTTTTTTAAAAAAAAAAAATTATTTCTGGCGGTTATAGGTCAGAAAATCATGTGACTACGCCCTCAATTATTGGGAACATTGGTGTTTTTTTTTGGTTCGTGTCGGGAATATTTTGCAGGGAAAACACATTGTCAGAGAAATTGTCAGAGAAACGCAGACATTGCAGTCAGGAAATATTTTGTCGTGGAAATAGTTGTTAGGTATTCTTGTCAGATACCATTACACATTACGGCCGATTTCGTTCATGCCCTAAAATTTAATGTTTTTTAGTAGTCTGATATGTATAGAGTTGATAAGTATACACCCTAAAATCAGATATCTTAAATTGTGAACAGAATCGGCCGTGATGAAATTAGGTGTCATATTGAGGTGTGCGATATACTATGTAAGTACGTACGACGACGTATAATAAAATTTATTAACAGTTAATGAAAGTTTTTTATTAGATAGGTAATAAATTTATAAATAACAAAATTTTTAAATAGATGTACATAAGGATGGGCAAAATTGGTACGTATAATTGGTATAATATCGGTATAATATTTTGTTCGTAAAGACGTAGTACTGGTTTTTTTGAAAAATTTATCCAAAACTGTCAAACCGTTAGGGCTGTGCATCTACGTATTTAAAATTTTACAAAGAATTTTGTTATATGACCACATATAGTTTTGACTTGCGTAGCATAATACGTATTACAGAATGTATATATCTGATACGTATTAGATAATGTTTTGAACATTCATTAATTAAAATGAAAAATTTTATATCTTAACATACAAGCTGAAACTTTGATAAAAAATCGACCGTAACTTTTTAGAGATAGTTCTTATTAAGAGTTTTCAGTTAAAAAAAAAATAAAAAATTAATAAGGGCAATATTAAGATGAAACTTTTAGAAGTTTTACTTTCTCTATAATTGATAATATTCATATTTAATTTAGTCCCTAACTACAAGTCTAATCCTAACCTTACCGGTAACACCTTTTTTTTGCTATGGCTAAGGTGCTAGACACCTATATCATTATTCGCAACAATTTTTTTAATGCAGTAATTTAATGTGATAGATAGCTTGGCCAGATGGTTGAATAATGCAAAGTTAATTAAAATGCCAAGTATTATAGTTCATTATAGAACTGCCCTCGATTTTTACGTTTTTATTTTTTTAAATCCTTTTTTTGTCGATCATTCTACTGTCTTAATCTGCTGCCTAAATTTTGTTAGAAAAGTTCATTTTCAGAACTGAAATAAAAAAAAAACTTTATATGCTGTAGTACAGTAGTATTAACATGAGTTTTTTAACTTTAAAATTCATAACTTCAGTCTCTTTACGCAAAAAATTATTTTATTTTGACTAATACTAATAATAATTTTACCTTGCTATTTGTTATTATAATTGTTATAATATTATATACATGATTTAATGTTTATCATAATTAGATTATAAAATAATGTCATAAAAACAATATTTTAAATTATTGCAATGTGAGATTATTATGTCAAAGGCTCTGAATGCTATAAAAGAAATAGTACTACAAGGAAACAAAAGATATAATACAAAGTAAAAAAAAAAACAATGAATGCAAATAAATAAATACAAGAAAATGCATTTAATACATGTGATAGTATTAAATCTGATCTAAAAAGTCAGAATGTACAATTCTAAATTTTATCTTATAAAATTTGTCAACAATGATTAAATTGATTAATTATTGAATTAAAAAAAATTTTAGATCAATCTTATAATACTAATATAAATATCATTATGCTTCGTAAATAAGTAACTCTTTAACAGCAAAGTCTTTTGCAAATGTTTCCTCTTTCACATTCAAAGCCATTTCCAAATCCTCCCATGCCTCATCATATCGACAAACAACATCTCTTAAAATAATACTTCTTTCACATAACGCCGAAAAATTGGTTGGATCTGCTTCCAATACCTTATTTAGATCTTCAAGCGCATGTTGATATTGGTCCATAGATCTATAAAGCATTGCACGATATTCGTATGCCTTTAGTCGACACCATGTGTTTAACTCATTTGTTTGTTTGAATTTTATCGCATTATTCAAATCTGATAATGCATCTTTATTTTTTCCTAAGGCTCGATACACTTCTCCACGCATCATAAGTACAAAACACACGTTTCCACAATTTGGTGCCGAATGCGCTTCATTAAGATCTTTTAACGCTTCCTCATAACGTCCCGTCGCATAATAAACTTCAGATCGAATGCAAAGTGCAAAAAAATTTGTTGAATTTATGTTTAAAGCATTACCTAAATCAATTAATGCTTCTTCATATCTTAAAAGTTTGAAAAGAATGTGTGCTCGATTTTCTAAACCTTCAACATTTTTCGGTGAAATTTTTAATACTTGATTCCAATCTGCAAGAGCTTCTAGCCATTTTGTTGAAATTTGATAAATTTTTGCTCGATGACTTAAAATTGAAATATCATTTTCCGGCTTGAATTGAACGGCTAAATTATAATCCTGTAAAGCGGATTGATACTGTCCTAACCTTGCATATAAAGAAGCTCTGAGGTCTAACGCTTTCGCATTGTGACCATCAATTTCTAATGCTTGCTTTAGATCCTGAAGTGCTTCTTCTGTTTGTCCCATCGCAATATAGGTTTCTGCTCGATCACAATAAACGTTAATATTATGTGGTTTAAGTAAAAGTGACTTTTCAAAATCTGTAAGAGCTTTCCCATATTCTTTAAGCATTGTCAGAGCACTTCCTCGATGCCTGTGAGTAGATGCGTGTCCTTCAGGTCTTCCATTCCATAATGACTTTAATGATGCGTCAAAATCTTCCTTTGCAGCTTTATGATTATTCAATAAAAGAAGAACTTTTCCGCGATTTCTGAGTAAACGTGGGTTATTTGGTTCGATAGCAATCGCCTTGTTCAAATCATCTAGTGCAGTATCATAATTTAAAAGCATACGATGAACTTTGGCACGATTCAATAGAGCGGTTACGTTTCTTGGTTGATTATTTACAACAAAATCTAGATCAATCAATGCATTTGAATATTGCTTCATGTTACGTAACACTTCACCACGGTTTACACGTGATGTAATATCATGAGGATTTTCGATTAATATTTTATTTAAGCCATCTAACGCGTCATCAAACTTTTTCAATATCGCGTAAACCTGATTACGTAAAGATACTGCACTTTTGTCAAGTGGATTGATCATCAATGCTTGATCCAAATCATATAATGCTTCAGCAGGTTGTAGTAAGGTATGATATATTTCGGCTCTTTTCCTATAAGTCGAGGCTTTTCCATCATATTTAATCGCCTCTGAGTAATCCGAGAGTGCTTCTTGGTAACGTGACAAACATCGATAAGCTTTTGCACGATTTCGAAAAATTCTTGCAATATCTGGGTACCTTAAATTTAAAAGTTCATTAAAATCGTTCAATGCTTCTTCATATCGGGTTTGGGCTAGATAAACTTTTCCTCTATTTAAGAGAAGTTGAAGATCTTTTCGGTTTGATACTTTTATTGCTTTGGTATAATCCTCTAGCGCCTCGTCATACCTTCCGAGTTTTTTGAACAAGGAACCCCTTGAACTCAATGCACCCGGATTGGTTGGTTCAATGTTTAAAAATGTATTAAAATCATTAAGTGCGTCTAAATATCTTTGGAGTTTAATATTTACTAGACCACGAGCTTGTAAAGTCGTCGAATCAGATGGTGAAGATTTCAATGCCTTATTAAAAAAATCTAAAGCATCAAGATAATTTTCTTCTAATACCATAATTTCACCATAAATTCTAGTAGCATTAAGAAAAAGTTTCTCCGATACATTTTCATCCGCTTTTAACGATGAAAACCCTTTAATTAAATCATTTTTTGCAGATTCATAATCTTTTTTATAATAAAACGTTTCACCTCGAAGTAATAGCGCACGTGATTTTACAGGATTTTTTTTAATGGCAAAATCAAAATCTTGTAATGCCTCAGTTAAATTTCCAAGTTCTTTGAGTGCAAAACCTCTATCACATCGAAGTGAATAACTATTTGGATAAGATTTAATTAATCGAGTTAAGCAATCCTTTGCTTCTTGGTAATGTCCAGCCTCTAAAGCTTTGGATGCTTTATAAAGATTAGGATTTAGGATTTTAGGAGGCTTAATAACGCCCGATAATCTTTTTGAACTTTTTGAACGAGTGATAGGATCCATACGAGTATCGTACGCCACAGCAGGAACTGGTAAAGGTGATATATTACCGTCAAACGCTGGTGGGGCCTGATAAATGAATTATATTATTAATATTCTGTTATTAATTTTAAGATAAAATAATTTGAATTTAATGATAAAAAAATTTTCAATTTTTTTAAATATTAATTCAAATTTATCACATAGAAAATTTTACTATACGCATAACATATACGATATATATTAGAATTTTATTTAGATACGTAATATACGTACGTACATACCTGTGTCGTGTATACCTTTCCTGGGACTAAACACTCGTTTTACAATTATTATTTAAAGATATATTTTTGGGCGTTATTAAACCTTCATGTGAATAATGACTGAAAAGGTGGCGTGTAATCAAAAAAAGAAAAACCAACACTTTCAATTCAAAAAGATGCACCACGAGTATTTATTTTAGTCATTTTAACACAAATAAAACCTGTCCTACTTGTTTGTCCTTCTATACTGGAAATAAATACGTTTATGATTTCACCTTATTTATCCGTAAGACAAGTTATCAATCTTTAAACTTTAATAAAGTAAGTATCTTAGTTTCACTGGATTCAGCAGCCTAACTATCGACATGCAGTTTCAATATATGGATACCTTAAACACCTCTTTAAAGCTCAAAACTGCAGCTAATTAATGTGTTATCTTTCAGGTGCATGAAATTATTCTGTGTAATGAACCACACAGAGATGCACGATTTGTTTATAAACACAATTTAACCATAACAAAATTATTTAGCCATGCGAAACTATAAGGGGATTTTTTTTTTTTTATTCGGTTAATCAAACCTTTGAGTTTGTAATTATCAAACTATATATTTACTATCCCTAGCTAGACACGTAAGTAACTAAATTATTTTAGGTATTTATATTCACTTCTCAAAAGAGTGAATTCATTATATTATTCGGTTTGATGCGAGATCCATGGATTATCAAGTATGTGAGACATTGATAGGTTATTTAAAAATCACTCGGTGCTCGGCAAATCGTTTTTGAAATGGTCTTATGTTTTTCTATATTTAGATAATAAATAGAACTACCTTTTTTAAGTTGCTGAACATTACGTAATGTATAAATCACAAAATATCCTTAATTCTTACTTCTTAGCAATCATTACCACCATGAGTATAATAAATTTTTCTTTTGGCAAAATGAAAGAGGGGTATTATCATAAGTGCTGTAAGAAATGTAGTTGTTCAACTTTTTGGGCGTTGTGTACATAGGTACGTACCATTTATAAACAGAAGAATGCATGATAAATACGAATCGTAATTTTTACACTTTTTGGTAATACGTATTATATATATTTTTAGATTATTGTTATTTTTTTTATTCAAATTTTATTAATTTTTAGAATTAATATAAAATTTTATCAAATTTGGTTGATAGGCATCAGGCATACTTAAAAATAGCTTAATTATTTAATTAAATTACAGTATAATTTTTTTTAAAAAAAATTTTAATAAAAACAAATTAAATAATTTTATAAAACAATATTATTAATATGGTATAAAGGATATTTTTAACTTGTGGCAGTGGTTATTGATAACCTAGGTGCTACTGTATATCTCGAAAATGTACCAATTGCTAAGTAAATATGGTCGAGAATTCTAAGTAAAAATGTTTAAGACCCCAAAAATCTTGTAAGAATTGAATTTTGATTCTTATATCCAATATACATTATGTTCTATAAACTAAATTTGTAATAGAAAATTATTATAGTTATTACAGGCTATCCGTCAGAGACTTTTTACACATATAGACAATATATGCATTTAAGTCATAAGAACCATTTTTGCGTTAAAAGTCAAAATTTTTATGTATTTAAAGAGTATACAGTATGCAATTAGAGACAGTATCAACTGTAATAACCAGAGGTATAAGTTATAATATTCTATTTTATTAAAACTTGTAGACCTATATAGACTTATAAAAAACTGCCGAACTAACTTGCTGATGTTTTTTAAAAATTTTGAACTGCCCCAAGAACACCTCCAGATTTTTCGTGCAATCACATGACATCTAACAAAAATTTCGCGATCATGTGTAATACCAATTCAAGAAATACATCATTAATTGTTATTAAAGAAAAAAATTTTCGTAATGAAATTTTATTTAATAGCATTTTTAATGAAGAACATTCGGTCCTGTAGTGCTAGAATACTTAAAATAAGTTAAGCAAGTTCATTTATTTCGTTTAATTCATATTATTTATATGTGTAAATATGGATAAAAATATTTTATTAATCAAAGTTCATGATATCGAACATGATAATAGACTTAATAAACTGAAGTATATATTTAAAAAAAAGGCTATTCAAGTTAATGAATAAAGTCATCACCTTTTATAACGAACTGGCAGTTCTTATAGCAATTAAAAAAGTTTGCTATAAGTAGATTTGTTATAAAAAGGTTCACTGTCTAGAACTAACTGTATTCATTAACTTAATAGATATATATAAAAAACATTTATTAAACAAAGCATTTAATACAAACTTTTCATATCATTAATATTATTTGCAAAGTTCGTGAATATATATTTTCATTACAATATAAAGGATATTATTAATTGCTGTTATTATTGTAAAAAGAAAAAGGTGCTTTTAAAACACGTTCAACGGCATAAAATAACAGGCAGCATATGTCTAAAATTCATAATTTTTTTGTTGCATGTTTTACATATTCAAATTTTATTGGTGCGCAGAAAATTGGAGGTGTTCTTGGGGTAGTTAATATTTTGATATTACCGTAAATTGCCGTATACAAGATTCACCCAAATAGTAGATTCACCATTGGATTAGGCCCAGGCGCAAATCACAAAATCTATATTAATAAAATATGTTTTTTTTTCAATATCCAGACTGCCTATTATAAGTGCAAATATACATGATCTTTAAAATTTTCTATCTAATAATATAAACACTCGGCCGCATACTAGACCTTACTATAGGCTTTAAAATTGGTGGAATGTACCAGACTCGACCGGATCTTATATACGGCAATTTACGGTATCATGTAACTGCAGTATTACCGAGGAAATTATTTTAGTGGGTAGATTAGTCACGCAACCAAAATTCAGCAGATTGAGGTTCGGAATAGGCAGGGATTGATAAATTTTTCCTAAATTCACCAAAATTTTCACCAATAAAACGGTAGCCTATATATTCTATAGTATTATAGTAGTATTATGTTTGCTGGTCAAGTGACGTGTTAGAATAACCATTTTCATCTGACAAACAAAAAAAAACATTAAGTTTGTCTTTGCGTTTTTATAGGGGAAATTTTATACAAATTCTAATTTTGAGTGTTACGTTACACGAAATCGCGATCAACCGTAGCATATCGATATGGGCTGATTTATAAAACTGGCAATAACTTTTTATCTAGTGGCCTGTTTTGGATAATTTAACTGCCAAAATGTTCAGCTCATTGAGAGGATTCTAACAAGACCAAAATCATTAAAGTCCAATTACAGGAACCCAAGTTATTGTCAATTAATCAAAATTTTAACCAATAATATATGTGGCAGATTAAAATGAAGAGAATTTCTATTTGTACCCGGTGGGTATGATACCCGGTATAAGAAAAAAAATCAAAAATCAGTAATATCTCAAAATTTTATTAAGAAACTATATATAGGTATCTTAAGTAAAATTGTTCA